TTAAACATGAACTTGAAGAACACTAACAAAACAATACAAATCCGGCATCAAAACATCTTATATGGTTTAAAAAATGTGATAATGACAGATTTGGATAGAGGATGAGAGGGGGAAATTGTTGACATAAATTTTCGGACGATTGGAGGTCGCCGGAAAATTCCGCCGAAAATTTTTTGACGAATTTTGGACATAAACTTTACATCAAAGGATAGCCCTTGAAGAGCTCCACACTTTTGTGTAAAGGATATAGGACGGGAATGACCGAAACTTCGTAAATCTAAAGAAAAATGTGAGGATTTATGTTTGATTTTTTTTTAGATCTACGGAGTTTGGCTATGAATATGAACGAATGGTTTGCGGATTTGTGTAGAGGAGGGTGAAAGGAAGAAATGGCAAAATTTTGGAGATTTTTTTCCGGCCAAGGGGTGGTGGCCGCCGACGGCTGTGGCGGCGGTGGCGGTGGCCGGCCGGCGGCAGGTGGAAGCAAAGGGGAGAAGAACAAAATAAAAAATGGCAATAAAAATTTGATTTTGGGGTTTTGTATTTTTGGTAGGGTCTCATAAGAACTCTTGGATCAAAGAATCACGGATGGTTGAGATTTAATCTTGACCATTTCTATTGGACCGGGTCAAAATTGATTGGGCCATCAGAATTTGGTCTAAATTAACCCAATTCAATAAAAATTTGGGTCGTTTGGGCCAATTAAAAAAAAAATAATTAAAAAAAGACAAAATTACCCAAAATACAAAACAAAAAATATAAGACCTTACTATATATTGTAGGAGTAAAATAAACACGTCAAAAATTAGGTGTTCACAGCATGCCCCTCTTTGCTTGGAAACATGAAGAGTTTTCAAGCGAAGAAAGTGAACGAAGTGGCTAATTTTTTACTGTTTCAAACTCCGTTGAAGCCATTTTGAAAAAGATGACCGAACCTTGCTTCAGGGGTTGCCTACATTTCCTTGATTAAAAGGAAATCATGTCAGTATAGTTCGAGAAACTTTCAATGCTGAAACTATCAGAAATTGCGGTTAAAAGATTGCTTCACATTGCTTGTATCTACTGTCTATAATTACAAAGAAAAGAGCTAGAGAACTATGCCTCTCTACATTATAAGAGTTACAAGATCCCTACTTGATATTTTTTCTTCGGGTCTCGTCTTGATCTTCAACTTGCTCTGTGCGTTATCTTTGATATTGATCTTCATGCTCTCTAGGCGGCTGGTGGATCATTCTCAAGTGCATGTTTTAACTTGAGTTGGCGGTTGAAACTCAAAACTCAAGATCACAAAATGAAGAACCCAAAAAGGATGTGTTTCTTTTAGGGTAGAAAAAAAAAGAATCTTGAACTACTAGGACGTATAACCCTAGAAAGAAAAGGAGAAGTAGGGTGTGTTGCCCCGAGAGTTCCCAATAAGACGTATTGTCTTTATTGATTGTCCTAAGATTGGGTTTATCCCCAAAAATGTGAATATGGCGTGTATAACCCATGAATGATGGTATGTATTGCCCAGGATATGCATATGGTGCGTATTGCCCATGAATAGAGAATTGATGCGTATTGCATGTGAATAAGGACTGGTGCGTATTGCAAGACTAGTGTGTTTTGCACATGAATGCAATATCGATGTGTATTGCATGTGATTTGGATTGGTACGTCTTGCTCATGAAAGAAAGATTGGTACGTTTCGCACATGAATAAATGATGGGTGCGTATTTACACGGAATACAGATTGGTGCGTATTGCACGAAATTCAAACTGGTGCGTATTGCACGTGAATAAAGGAGGGTGTGTATTGCACATAAATAAGGGACGTGTGCGTATATCACGGAATTTAGAGTGGTGCGTATTTCCCTAAGCTCTCGAATTGAGAGGCAAGAATGCGAATAGCACGAGATGAAACAACAAACATGTGAAGACTTTGGAGGACTTCCCTTTTGTGATGTTTTATTTTTGACTTGTAATCCCACATTTTCTTTTATTCCTATGTTGAGCAAAAGAAAGAGAAAATTGTTAGTTTAAAGTGGTAGTTGGTTTGTGGCCTTGATGCTCCGATGACTTGACCATGCTCCTGACCAATTTCTCCAACTCTACTCCAAATTCTTGGTTGAACAACCTTTGAAGCTTCCTCTTTGTCAATTCAGGGCCCTGATCTTTTTGGTACTACCAAATATCATGGTGCGACTGATGTTCCAAAGGATGAATTTTTCTGTTGAATATTTTTCATGACTTAAGAGACTATATCGTGTTCCTTCACGAGTTTTCAGTGAAGATTTAAGGCGTTTTTAGTCCTTGCTCGATGGCATGTCAACTCGGATACTCAGCTTTACTTTTGGAAACCCGTAGTAGGCTTTGCAATCTTTTACCTTATTTTGTCAGGAGATTATACCGAAAAGACTAGAAAAATATCAGACTTAATAGTGTGAAAGATTGGATCAAGAAAGACTATAAACTTAAGGAAGGGCATTCCCTTTTGAAGAAAAAAAAAGAGAAAGAGAACTTATCTGGAGGCATATGTCGACTTTGAGTGAACCATGACATGCACTTTGGACTTGACCCCCGATCCGCTTGAGTTGTCTAATTCTCGAAATCTGAACCATTATCAATTTATAACTGATCTATGTATTCTTCATGTAGAGGTATCGAGAAATGACGTTCTTTGCAAATTTCTCTCAACTAGTCATTTTCATGATGTTCTCTTCTTTTATCTTAAGGTGCCCTGCAAGGGTTTTCACCGATAAGATTTTCTCTATTGTCGTCTTATGGTGCCTATAAAGGTTTTCACCGATAAGACTTTCTCTTTTTTTTTTCTTTTTTTTGACTCGACAAAGTTGTCTTTGATGATCAATTGTTCGTGCAAGACACATCGAATTTATCATTCTCAGAGTTGATCAAAATGTTGGTTGCTAGAATAAAATCAAAAACGGAATCAATTTGACTCTATTCTATCAAAAAAGAAAAAAAAATGCCCCAATTTTCTATAGATACTGGAATATTGATTATTTTTTTAGTATGACCGAACCCCAAAGGGTTGCCTACGTATCCTTTCGGAATCAGGTCAAACGTAGTTCAAACTTTCAAAGAGAGGTCTTTTTTTGGATTTTTTTTTTGGTTTTTAAAAAAAAAAAAGAGATGCCTTTGTTCTCTAAGCCACAAACTTGTCACAGTATCTTAGAACGCATTAGATGTAGTATCTTTTGACTGCATCTGCATTAACAATTATGCTTGTGATTTTTCCCTCCACATCAGTAAGGTGTAAGGCTCATTTGGACAACACTTCCTTGATAAGATATGGACCTTGCCAATTTGGGGAAAACTTTCCCTTGGCCTCTTCTTGGTGTGGGAGAATGCGCTTTAAGACCAGTTGACCTACTTCAAAGTGTCTTGGGTGCACCTTTTTGTTGTATGCACGAGCCACCTTTTGCTGATAAAGCAGACCAAAACAGACGGCCGTCAATCGCTTCTCATCTATTAATGTGAGATGCTCTAGTCAGGTTTTGACCCATTCAGTATCTTCAATTTTAGCCTCGACAATAATTCGAAGAGATGGAATTTCAACTTCCGCTGGTATCACAGCCTCAGTCCCATACACTAGCAAATAAGGAGTTGCACCAATCGAGGTGCGCATTGTTGTGTGATATCCTAAAAGGGTAAAAGGCAGCTTCTCATGCCATTGTCTAGTGCCTTGAACCATTTTCCTGAGAATCTTTTTTATATTCTTGTTGGCTGCCTCCATAGCTCTGTTGGCCTTTGGTCTGTATGGAGTAGAATTGTGAATGGCTTTTATTTTGGAGGGATCCAATTCGATTTCCCTTCTACTGACAATAAAACCCAAAAGTTTTCCAGATGAAACTCCAAATGCACATTTTGCTGGATTAAGCTTGAGATCATATCTCCGCACTCTTTCAAAGAATTTTCTCAGATCTCGCACATGGTCAGCTTGTGTTTTAGACTTGATTATTACATCATCGACGTATACTTCGATTCATTTATGCATCATATCATGAAACATGGTGGTCATAGCCCTCATGTAAGTTGCCCCAGCATTTTTAAGACCGAATGACATGACCCTATAGCAATAAGTCCCCCATGGAGTGGTGAAAGCAGTTTTCTCAGCGTCATCTTTGTCTATCAAGATTTGATGATACCCCCCGCATAGTAGTCCACAAAAGATTGAATTTCGTGTCTGGCACAATTATCAACTAGAATGTGGATATTAGGCAAGGGAAAGTTGTCTTTTGGACTAACTTTGTTCAAATCCCGATAGTCAACACAAACTCTTGTCTTTCTATCCTTTTTCGGCATAGGAACAACATTTTCCAACCAAGTAGTGTAACAAATGGTTTGGATCACATTTGCATTTAGTTTTTTCATGATTTCTTCCTTGATTTTTTCACTCACGTCCGGTTTGAATTTTCTTCTTTTTTGTTGGACGAGTGGAAAATCAGGATGAGTGGGCAACTTATGGACCACTAAATCAACACTCAAACCTGACATATCATCATAGGACCAAGCAAACACATCTTTGTATTCAAACAAAAGTTGTATTATGGCATCCCTAATTTCCTTCTTGACATGAAGACTTATTTTTATTTCTTTGACTTCATCATTACTTCCCAAATTGATGGCCTCGGTTTCACTAAGATTAGGCTTAGGTTTGTGCTCAAACTGTTCCAATTCCCTATTAATTTCCCTAAAAGCCTCTTCTTCATCATATTCAACCTCTCGACTCGGGGATTCAAGAATAAACAACTCTTTAAGATCTGGGAGTGAATTCCACATGCATGTCATGTTATCAAAGCCGACATTTACAAAACTGAAAAATGGAGAATAAGAATCATGGGAGGAAAAAGACAAAATTTTACTATGAAACTGGAATTTCATTTCATTGAAATAAAAAGGATAGAAGGGTTGACATTAATATAGAATACTTTCAAACTTTCGGATCACAACCCTAACAAAAACAAAATACAAAAGAGTGGCAAAACAAACTACCAAGACTATTTCCTTACGGGGAAAAGAGTGGCTTCCCAATTGCTTAGCTCAACACCTGAGCCCACGAGCTGCACATCGGTTTGAATTGTACCTTCACCAACTTGAACCATGTTTACTTCACAAAACAACTGGCTGAGATCCTGAATAACTTCTTCAATGTCTTCATGAGTAAGGGAAGCTTCCATTTCTGGTCCCTGAGGCTCAATAAAGGAATGAGAAATATGGGGAATCGGTTGTGGCAGCGCCCAATCAGTCCTTTTGTGGTTATTAGTCTTATCTCCACTTCTCTTGCTTTGTTTGTATCCGAGGCCAGAGGTGCTTTGGTTCCCAAAAAGAGTAATGGGATCCACAATTCCTTGCGAATAAAGTCCCAAACCTTTACTAGATTGATAACCATATTTGAGCATTGTCGTTGCTACCATTGAAGGGGAAGAAGAGAGACATGGTTGGATAATGGGGTCTCCTTCTCTAAAGCGATTGACTGATACGGCCTCAAAAGACTGGTAAACAACAGAATCACATCCTTCTTTTGCCACAATGTATGGAATGGAGAGATCTCTGTAAATAGGAAAATCATCTTCCCCATGCACAATGATTTCCTGATGGTTGTGTTCAAACTTAACAACTTGATGCAGAGTTGATGGGACTGCCCGAGCCGTGTGGATCCATGGCCTTCCCAATAGAAAATTATAAGATGTGTCCATGTCCATTACTTTGAACACAATCATAAAATCCACCGGTCCAATTGTCATGTTTAACTTTATTTCACCAATGGTATCCTGCCTTGAGCCGTCATAAGCTCGAACAAATACATTGTTGGGGCGAATTCTGTCAAGGCTAATTTTCAAGTTTTGCAGCATAGAGAGAGGACATATGTCTACCCCCGATCCCCCATCTATCATGACCCTCTTTACATAGTACCCTTCATATTTCACTGTAAGAAGCAATGCTCTGTTGTGTCCAGCTCCCTCTGTGGGCAACTCATCATCAGTGAAAGTGATGGTGTTTGACTCAAAGATGTGCTTGGCCATTTTCTCTAACTGATTTACCGTGGTCTCCTTCGATACATGTGCTTCATTCAAAATCTTATTCAACACACGACGATGTTCTTCTGAGTGCAAGAGTAGAGACAACAATGAAATTTGTGTCGGGGTTTTCTTCAATTGTTCCACAACAGAGTAATCTGGAACCTTAATCTTTTTTAGAAACTCTTCTGCTTCTTCCTCAGTAACTGCTTTCTTCAGTGGTACTTGGATGTTTTGAGTTATCTTCCTTTTTCTTAATTCTTCTGGAGAATAACATCTTCCAGAGCGTGTCAGCCTTCCTGCTTCATCAACCTCTTCAACAATCTTCTTTCCTCGGTAAACCACAACGATTTTGTTATAGTTCCAAGGGACAGCCTTTGAATCAATTACCGGAAGCTGTTGGACGGGCTTAACAAGATAGGTCCTTTCAACTTTGCCAAGCAATTTTGGTCCTGTCGTGTTAATGAAAAACCCTTTGATACATACAACTTCGGCATACCTGCTCGAACTTCAATCCCCTTCGAAACCCCCGGGACATATAAAACTTTGGTATCAAGGTTGACACCTTCCACACTCAAAGATGCAACTGGTTCTAAACTCTTTATCGACTTGTTTTCCTCTCCGATCTTCCTAAACAACTTTCCCATTGTGCCAAGGAGTTTGTACTCTTGATCATCGCAAATCATACCCACTAAATTGTTTTGAGCTGGAAGTGGGTTATTAGTCACATTGGGAGTGTTTTGATCATCTGTCACAACGACCACTCCATGATCGATTAGCTTCTCTATCGCCCCCTTCAAGGTCCAAAAATTATCAGTGTTGTGTCCTGGGGCCCCTGAATGATACTCACATCTTTCATTGGCTTGGAAACCTGGAGCAGTTGGATTCAGACGATGTGGTGGGATAGACCCAATCACTCCTATCTTTCTTAACTTTTGAAACAAGCTGGAGTATGACTCTCCCAATGGTGTGAATTTCCTTTTCTGTCCCTTCTCTTGAGCATAATTTTGCATAGGAGGAGGGTTGTAAGGGACCTGATAGGGTGGTCGTTATGGGCGAATGTTTCCTTGAGTTGGGGCCCAAAAATGTGGGTGATTGGGAGAATGCACATATGATTGAGCATTGAAGATTGTGTATGGAGATAAAGATACTGGATATTGATGGACATAAGGGTAGTAATGTTGAGGATAACTAGATTGTCCTTGAAGTGGTGGGTAAGGACAATTAGAATTTCTTTGAGCACCCCTTGACCCTGATGCTAGCGAAGAAACTTCCTCTTTTCTTTTACGATTTCCAAAACTGCCTGAACCACCTTGAATGGCCTGTGTGGTAGCTTTGATTGTTGTCTGGCTCACGATCCTCCCTGTTTTAAGACCACTTTCAACCATTTCTCCAATTTTGATTGCTGTGTGAAACGGTCTTCCCATTGCGGCTGTCAGGTGGTGGAAATAGTCAGGATCTTGAGCCTCTATGAAGATATCAACCAATTCTTGCTCATCTAAAGATGGTTTGACCCGGGCTGCTTGTTCCCTCCATTTGATAGCATACTCTCCGAAGCTTTCATTTGGCTTTTTTCTCATATTAGAGAGTGTATTGCGATCTGGCATAATGTCGACATTGTACTGAAATTGTCTAACAAAATCTTGAGCCATATCATCCCAGATGTGTGCCAGTGGGAGATCTCTTGGCCTATAAACCATTCTGAGGCAACACCAGTCAGGCTCTCACCAAAATAAGCCATGAGCAATTCCTCTTTACCCCCTGCACCTCTAAGTTGATTGCAGTATCTCTTGAGGTGAGCTATGGGATTACCGTGCCCGTCATACTTATCAAACTTAGGGGTTTTGAATCCAGGTGGCAAGTGGACATTTGGGAACATACACAAGTCTTTGAACGCGACACTTTTGTGCCCTCCTAGCCCTTGCATGATTTTCATGTGTTGCTCGATGCTTTTCATTTTCTTCAACATTTCCTCTTACTATGAGACTTGAGGGGGCCTATCAACATCAATAGGGGAGCCTAATTGTACAGAGTTAGGGTCCCCCGAATGCTATCCCAGGAGTATAGTATTGCTCTGGATGGACGGTGAACTGTCCCTCTTGAGCTGCTCTCTGCGTCACAGTTGGTTGCGGGAGAGTATAGACCGGTGCAGCTGTCGCGACAGTGGGATTATTCCTAAATGGCATGCCTTGATGGCGTGTTGTTGATGGTCTGACCCCACAATTATCAAATGGACCATACCCCAGAGGAAAGAAAGGATCTGATATCGGGACCTGAGAAGACGAAGATCGGATACTAGTGATCTCAGGAAAACCGGGAATAGATGTTGGTGGTTCTTGGCCATTGGCCCAGGCTTGCCACAACTGTGCCATACATGCCTCAATGTCCGATTTTCTTCAATAGTGGCTGACTCTCTTGTCGTTGAATCAAATGGAGTATCCACTGGGTTTACCGCAATTTCAGTATTGCTTTTCATTGATGCTCTTACCTTAGACCTCGTAAAGTACAGGTGTTCTGCCAGTTTACCACAAACCAACCACCAATAGCTTACAAGCTTACTAAAGAGATGAATGAACAAACTTGTTAGGGGTTAGACATCAATCACATATTTGTTAATCACATAGTAACATGAGTTCAGAAGGCCGTTGTCTCATCCCAGCTTTGCTTCGCTCATTGTCTTCCTTTTTCTTTCTTTTTTTTTTTAAAAAAAAAAGTTTTGATCGAACCCTTTGGAGGTTGCCTACGTATCATGTCGCCGCATGAATCAGATCATTACGTAGTTCAGAAATTTAGACCACTCAAAAACATTAATTTAGACAAGCAAAGTCCAACCCTTTCATTCATTACAAAAAAAACTTTAAGCAAAACGACAAGATCAATGGGTTTAAACACAACCATGATCAACATGATCTCTTTGAACACTGAACTTAAACTGAAACACTGAGTCTTAAACAAAACAAGATAAAACAAACAAACAAACTAAACAACTAAACTCTTCTTTAATCTTCATAATCTTCCTTGGGCTTTCTTTGTCCTCCTAAGGTCACATACAGATTCAACAATACCTTCGGCAGATGGGGAACAATGGCCCGTGCTTGCTCAGCCACTTCTGGATCATTCATGAGACGATGATTTTTAACAACATATGAGGTTTGTTCCGCCAGCTGATGAACTTGACGCCTAGCATTTCCCATATTTTCATAGCAGTTATTCAACCAAACCTGATGATCACCAAGATTGTTCCTTAAGAGGGCCTCTCGCTCCTCTGCTGCTTTAAGTTGATGGTGAAGTGTTGCTCTCTCAAAAATTATTTGTCTTTGCCCCTCTTCGATATCGACACACTGATTGATTTTTCTTTTATGTTCTTCTAACTCTGCTTTAAGCTGATCATGTAAATGCATCCAACATGACCTTTCTTTCTCAAATTTCTCCTTCCGCCGCTTAAGTTATCCCCTTTGGTAGTTCACGACTTCTTCAGATGCCACTAAGTCCCTCTTCAATCGAGAAATTTCAAAACTCTGCTCCTTTTTTATTTGTCGGGCCAAGTGAATTCTACTATCCAACTCTTCCTCTAAACGGGCTAATTTCCCCTCTGCATGTTTCAATTCCCCTTCCGCATCTTATAACTCCAACTGAATATTTCTTCCTCTTTGGACTTGAACTTCTTGTCGGGCAATGGTGGTTTTGGCCTTCTCCAATTCTTTTTCCAACTGTCTTATGATGTGCTGATCTTTTCTTTTTCTGCTGGATCCTTCGGGAATGTCACCAAGTGTTGTTGGATCACGAAACCACGATAAGTACCCAAACACCACTTTTCTTTTATCTTGCTCCACCACCATTTCACTTAGCTCAGAAATTATACTCTCAAACCAGATCTTCAAAATATCAGTGTTATCAAAGGCAAAACCTGGCGGGGTGTCAATTACAAATCTACTTATATCATCATTTGGTGGGATTTCTTGTACTCTAGTCAGCTGACGCATAACCCGAAGTGGGGCATAGGGTTGAACACCTCTAAACTCAATCAACACAAGAAACGAGATACCACTAGACATGCATATGACATCCTTAGCTGGAAACCAGTAATAATTCCACACTATTTCATCAGACGTGATCACCGAAAGTTTCTCTTCACACGCTATAATTCCTTTTGGAAAATCGATTTTTGTTTTTCTTTCCTTATGGGAGGAAACATAATTACACCAGTCTGGAGTGAACCTGGGTGCACGATCATGGTGATAAAGATGCTCCAAAAACCATATTTGCAACAAGATGTTGCAGCCTTCAAAGTACATTTCCCCATTTATGCATTTAGTCAAAGCACGGAACATATCTGCCAGGATCATAAGAATAATAGTAGGACTCTCCATTGTGGTCAACGCCTTTACCACCCCAGCCAGACGAATATCAATATGCTTGTCCCGTTTGGGGAAAACAATGAGCCCCAAAAATGCGACCATGAAGGCAAAACATCCATTCGCCTTCCAAGCCTCTTCACCCCCTTGGTTGCTAAGTTGGTTCCGATAGTTTTTAAAACCATCATTTTGGCCATACCTCTCATATAGAAAGTCCAATGAAACCCACCCATTTTTCAAACTCTCATTCTCTACTTGATTGATTTTGAGAAGTTCCAGGAACTTTTTGGCATCAACGTTCTTTGGAATTATAGGGTTTTTGTTGCGGAGATCAGCACCCTAAACACTGGACCCCTTCCCCATGAAGCTGGCGATTTCTTCCAGAGTTGGTGTCATCTCGAAGTCAGAAAATCGAAATACATTATTTTTTGAATCCCAGAAAGGAATTAATGCCTCGATCACATCCCTTCTAGGGTCGATCTCCAGTAGATGCACTAGATGTCCCAGATATTCTTTTACTCTCCTTTGCTCATGACTCCCCATGTTTGTCCACCATGGCCATAAATTCTTGGGTATTGTGCCAACGATCATGAACTCTAGAATTTCTTCACTTCTAGGCCTTTTGGAACCCTGTAATTTGGTCAGAGGTGCCATTTGTACCTTTGAATAGAGTCCAATTAATGTTTTGTGACAAACTCTAACCGAGGGAGGAAAGAAGAGTAAACAAAAAATTATTTTTTAAAAAAACAAAATACCTCTTTTTACAAACATTGAACCCGAGAAGGGATGCCTACGTATCTCATTTTAGTGAGAATCAGGTATGCGTAGTTCATAAAAAAACTCACACTTGAACGACACTTTTATTTCAACCTCTTTTATTATTATTATTATTTTAAAATAAAATAAAAAATTGAAAGACAAAGTTATTATAAAGCTGGTCAACAATATAAAGGCCTTTTGAATAAATTATTTTCACGTAACACATAAAATGAACATGTTGGTTTAGAGTGGGCACATATCTTAGATTTTCTAAGTCAAATGCAAAATAAACGTAGCCTACCAGAGATAGTTTTTGCTAGGTTTAGCACATTTTTTTGGAAGGTGTCTAGACTGCTTACTCGAGTGGACAACTCGAGTCGGGGAGGGTCAGCGTACCGATAGCAGAGTTATTTCGGCTTAACTGGTGGTTCAATCCCGCCTAACATATGTGCCAAACCTAGAACCAGGAGCGTAATCGCACAATGGCTCATCCTAGACAGAAGTCCCGTAGAGCATATTCGCACACACAATATATAACAAAATTCTAGAGATTCAGAGGGTGTGCAAGAGGATGCAATTTATATACAATTACACAATATCAAAACAATGAATCATTGAAATAGCGTAATTAGTCAACAAAAAAAAATAAAAAAAATAGCCAAATATAGTCAATGTACAAAGCTCGAATTCTAAAGAAAGACCCTAGCAGAGTCGCCAGATCTATCACACAACTTTACTTTTTACAATAGTTATGGATATGACGGTTTTTTTTTTTTTAAAAAGAGAATAAAAATAAAATATAAAACAAAAATGATTTTTTTTTAAAAAGTCGCCACTTGAAAATGAGTTTTTTAGGTGTTCCAAGTCACCTAGTAAATCCTAATTTAAAAAGAGAGAAAAAAATCTTTTTAGTTTTAGTCTACGAAAACAGAGATTGGGTAAGGAATTCTATTGACCGGAGGGAAGGTGTGAGGAACCCCCGAGTCTCGTGGTTCTAGCACGTTCGATTTATCAACTCATGTTTGGCTAAAATAACTTTTTGGATAAAAGAATAAATTTGTATTAGTTACTAATCTTTTTTTTATTTAAAATGATTGACCTAGGAGCGTAACCGCACACAAAATCACTTTTTTAGAAAGAATACACACCAAGGATCGTAACCGAACACATAGTGGTAGTTAAAGTTTATTTTATTTAAAAAAAAAAAGGATTGATAATTCATTACTCAAATTTTATTTAATAATGAGAAAAGAAAAAAAATGAAAAAAGAACTTGTTGCAACATTTAGACTTGAACAAATATTTTTTTTTAAAATAAAAAACAAATAAATATATTAACTGTCACTACTTGATGATAACAACAAAAAGAAAAAAAAGTATATTCTTTTTTTAAAAAAAAATAAAATGACTAGGCTCCTTTTAAAACAACTAGTGATATACTAAAAAAAAAATTATATTAATATAATTTCAGAAAAACGACCACTTTGATAAAATTTTCAGTTTTTCATAAAATAGTCATATGTTTTCTTTTGAAAGAAAATTGCAAAAATAGCCTATTTTATCTAATAGTTAAATTACTAACCAAAG